GTTCGCAGAAACACTGCGGTCACTGCCCCAGGAGGGGAGAGACACGGAGGAGGCCTCCGCCTCCCTCCCCACTCCCGCCCGATAGCTCCCATGTCAGTCATTTAAGACACCTGTCCCCGACCTTTTGGGCACCAGGGACCAGTTTCATGGAAGATGATTCTTCCACAGGCCGGGGGCGAGGGGCAAGGGGGGCGTGGGGCGCTCAGACGGGGATGCGAGCGATGGGAGTGGCTCACTCGCCCGACCCTCAGCTCCTGCTGTGCGGCCAGTTCCTAACGGGCCATGGACCAGCAGCCGGCGGCCCGGGCAGACTTTAAGTCTTTGGATCAGATGTTAAGGTGCCCTCTCTCTGGGGCTGGCAGAGGCGGCAAGGCCTTGCCATGCGGAAAGGTGAGGACAGGGGGCCTGTGACTCTAAGAAAGGCGTGACCGGGGGAGGCTTGGCCCTGGGAGGAGGACGGGAGCCCTGGAGCCTCTATCTGGGCTGGGGCCCTGAGGTCCACACTCCGTGTCCAGCCTCAGAGAAGCTTCTGAGAACACACACTTCCCCAGGATGAGAACACACACCCCAGGTTAGGGGCCTGGAGGCAGTGGAAGGCGGCATCCTCCCAGGGTAGGTGCTACGGTGCAGGGAAAAGAGCCCTGGTGGTGAATGAGAGCCCTGGGTTCTACTCCCACTTTCCTGCCAGTCGGCTGTGTGACCCGGGAAAATGACAAACCCTCTCTGGGCCTCGGTCTTCCCACGTAGTAGAGGAAGGGATTAGACCAGAAGACTGGCTCTCGAATAGCACCCTGCAGAGGGGCTCTCGGTAGGGGCCAAGTCGAGAAGAAAGTTAAGGGATGGGGGATCCAGGTGGCCCCTACCCCCCGTTTATTTTGCTATTTTAACCATTTTTAAGTGTGCCATTCAGTGGCACTAAGTGCATTCCAATGCTGTGCAGCCGCCACCAGTATCTGTTTTCATCGTGCCCCAGCGGAACCTCTGGCCCTATTAAGCAGTAACTCCCCACTCCCCCCTTCCAGAACCCCTGTAAGCTCTGCTGCCTTCTCCCCCTATGAATTTACCCGCTCTAGAGACCCATGCAAGTAGCATCATATAGCACTTGTCCTTTTGTGCCTCGCTTATTTCACCGAGCATGTTTTCAAGGCACATCTATGTTGTAGCATGTATCAGAATTTCACTGCTTTTTAAGGCTGAGTAACATTCCATCTCATGGATGTTCCACGTCTTGTTCATCCATTCTTTTGTCGATGGACACTTGGGTTGTTTCCACCTTTTGGCAGTTGTGAATAGTGCTGTCATTAACACTGGCGTGTACAAGTGTCTGTCGCAGTCCCCATTTTTAATTCTTTTGGGTGTGTAACCAGGAGTGGAATTGTTGGATTCTAGAGTAATTCTACTTTTAACTTTTTGAGGAACAGGTCCCTCTTTTTATCTGTTTTATATTCAAGGGAGAGGAGGGAGGCTGTGTATGATTCCGTTTGGAAATAATGGCTAACAAATAAGAGACGTCCTGAACCGGATGACCCTGTGGCCCTTCTAATCTCTAAAATCCCATAATGTCACGAGGTTCCCAGGTAAAAAATATGGGCAACTTTGGGTGCAGGGGCAGTCCCCCGGTCTGGTGCAGGGCTGTAAACCCTGGGTCATTCAGGCAAGCGGGGGTTGGTGGTGCGGTGGGCCCCCCTGCAGCGTGGGCCACTTCCTCAGCAGGGGCTCGGCCATCGCTGCGTGGAGGGCAGAGTCTGTGGGTCAACAGCGCCAGATCAGACCAGGCAGGATGTACCACATGGGGCACTTTTTGTGTCTCGCCATGTTATGTGCGTCAGTCAATTCAGCATTGGTTAGAAATCTTCTCTGCCTTGGTCTACCCGAAGGCCCACCCTCGGCGCTGTGGCCTCAGATGGTGCTGGCGGGTTGGGGTACGCAGCGGGGGTAGAGGTGGGGGTCGGATGGGGCCCTGTGAGGTCTTTAAGTCTGGTCTGCCTGGAGAGGGATTTCACCCTGAGAGGTCAGCACCGAGCTTTCCAGGAGCACTGCCCACCCTCCTGGCTGCCCCGCCTGTCTGCGGCCCGGCCGGGCAGTGGGCGACTGGGGTGGAGGATGAGCTGTCTTCAGGGGGAGGGTGGCAGGGCCCTGGGGCAGGCAGGGCCGGGAGCTGGGTATAAATAGCCCTGGCCCAGCTGCCAGGGCCTGGCTGGGCCCTCCGCCCTCCCCCTCACCAGCTGCTGGTGCCAGGCAGCGCCCTAGCCCCCTTGGGAGCCCGGCTGCCGTCTCGGATCCTAAACGTAGGAACTTCCTCCGCGGAACCGAGGAGTCTTGTCCTGTGTGGAGGTGGAACCTCCGGATGCCTGGAGGCCTGGCCAGCGAGGGGGCATCAGACTGGCCTCTGGGAGCGGTCCTTCATTCCTCCCCTTGGCCTCGGGATCGGCGCATGTCTACCACGCGCCCGGCCCTTTGGAAGGCCACTGTGCTGGTGTGTGTGTGTGTGTGTGTGTGTGTATGTGTGCGCGCGCGCGTGCTGGGGGCAGGGGCTGGGAAACGGTGGGAGGCGACACAACCTTACACCAGCAGGGCCAGATGGAATTGGGAACAAATCAGTTCGGCACTTTGCGATCAGGTTTGAATGAGGCACGGGAAGAATACATAGAGAGAGGTGACTTCTGTCTGGGAGCTCACGAAGTCTTCGGAACGCTGGCGACCCAAGAGTCAGGTGTATGCAGGGGTTGGCGCGGGGAGGTGCTCAGGTGGACGGCACGAGGGGCAGAACGCCCTGCAGGCGAGGCCCATCTAAGCAGAGCTCTCGCGCCTTGGCACAAAGAATTGAGGAGAAGGAGCCCACTGTGTTGCCCGTCCCAGGGGAGCGTGTACTTCGATAATGGGGACAAGGAGTGGTGAGTGAAATGAATGTGTCTGTGACGGTGGAATTTCGGGCACGGCAGTGTGTGGGCAGGGGGCCGGGCAGGGGGCAGGGCAGCTTCCCTGCAGAGATCAATCCACGGCCACAGCCTCATTAGCCCCAACACCAGCCCATGGAGCTGAGCGCCATCCCCAGAGGCCCTTGCTAATTGCCGACAGGAGCATCCTGGGAATGTCCTTTGCCCTCTGCGTTATCTTGAACCCTCAGCCAGATCCCAAATGTCTTCGTTTAGCCATAAGGATGGAGCTCTGATCCAGGCATCCTTGCCAGTGTTGCATGGGAAGGGGACAATTCTGATGTGTCCTAGCACATCAGGGATGGGAGGATGAGAGGAATGAGGTTGTTAACAAGGCAGGGGACAAAGATGGCCCTTTTGGGTGCTGGAGATAGCACCCAAATGCATGGTAACCATGACAACCACCATTTATCAAGGGCTTCCCATGGTGATGGCTTATATCACTCATTCTTCCTATTATGTCCATGAGACAGATGAAGAAACAGGCATGAAGAGGTTAAGCAAACCCTTGAGACCAGCAGCTAGGAAATGGCAGAGTTGGGTGAGACCATGGCACCCTGGCTGCCAGGTGCACAGTTGGCTGGACCTGGGCAACAGGGAGGAGACAGGGTTTGGTGGGAGGATGGGAAGAACTCACCAGCTGTGAGGCTGGGAAGCTGTCCTCAGAGGACATCACACGTGGGAGTCAGACAAACCCAGGGTTTGAATTCTGGCTCAGCCACTCCCTTGCATGAGTCACCCAACTTCTCTGTGCCTTGGTTTCCTCATTAAAACAGGGATGACAAGGCCCACCTTGCAGGGTGTGAGGATTAAATGAGATGCTATATGGGAGAGGCTGCAGCTGCACAGCAGGAAGGACCCAGTGGCACCTCCTTCCTGGAGATGTCTGGGAGCCTCTGCAGCCACCAAGCCGTGCCAGCCGGTGCCCAGGGCTCAGGCGCTCTGCTGCGCTGGGGAGACTCCCCGGGACCTCTGGGAGGAACTGATGAAACCAGGGAGCAGGGAGCCCCTTGGAGAGTCGGGGCAAGGTGCGGCCTCACTGCGAGTGGAAATGGAGAGCCAGCGGGCCCTCCCGACTCCTCAGCCCCCCTTCCCTGCAGTAGGAGGCGCCAACCCGCCCTGGGTCTGGCTGTGTGGCCTTGGGCAAGTAGCTCCTCTGGGCAGGCCTCTGCTTTTCCATCTGTATAATGGGCTTTGTGCTCTCTTAGGGCTCCTTTTGCGAGTTCTGCTCCTGGTCTAGGGCTCAGCCTCCAGCTTAGCTTGAGGGTGCCCAGGCCTACGGAGGTGCGACAGGTGTAAAGCAAAGGCTGGGAGAGGGTGAGGACAGAGGGGAAGAGAAGCAATGAGAGGGCAGGGGAAGGGGCAGGGGAAGGGCCCGAAGTGCCTCTCACTCTGGCCTCTGCTCACTGCCCCCTGTCCCAGCTATCCCATATGGGACTTTGGTTCCTAAACACCAGAGGCGGGAGTGGGGCCGGCCTGGGCTTCTTCTGAAGTGGGCCTTGCCCAGCCAGGATGGTGCTATGCCGAGTTGTCTACACGGAACCCTGCTCGGTTTCCCTCTGCAGTGGGTGCAGGGCTGCCGGGGCTGCTGGCAGGACAGGGCAGGGCCGCACGTGTGGGTCACGGGCATGGGGAGGGCAGCCTGAGCCCTGGGAGAGGCTCAGCTCTGCCGCTTTGCAGCCCCGCAGGCGGGGGCAGGTGACTTAGCTTCCTGGCCTCAGTTTCCTCACCTAGGAAATGGGACTGTGGCGATGATAATGAAGTTGCTACCTCACAGATCTGCATGACCACATGAGGTAACAGACACAAGCACCCAGAACTGTGCCCAGCGCATGGTGGGCCCACAATAAATGATGGGTATTTTATTACTACTGTAACTCACACCTGTGAACAGGGCAGGGGCAGTGCCATGGGTGCCACGTACCCACCAGGGCTCTGGGCTCAGCGGTTCCCGCCCCCAGGAGCGAAGGCTCAGTGCTGAAGCCCAGGGTGCAGCTGGGCCAGGCCTCAAGCACTGCTTCCCTTCCCCACGCGGGGACCCAGGTGGGCACTGCCCAGAAGGTGGGTGGCCGTGGTTTGCCACATGGCCTGGGCGGAGTCATGGCCTGGGTTTCAATGAGCAACTCCTTAGCAGCTCTGTGGTCTGGGTGGGTTAATCAACATGCAAGTCTAAGCCACCTGCAGAACGGGGCTCTAATAATGACCCTACTGTGTGCTATGGTTGTTATTAATATAAAGATTAAATGAGGCAAATGCAAGGAAAGGGCCAGCCCGGTGCCTGGCACAGAGGAAGTCAGTAACTAGGCATTAGCAGTGATAAGTCAGAACTTCCGGCTGCTCCTTTCTTCTCTTTAAAAGGACTCGTGCTTAAGATCTGGAAATGTCTCCTAAATATTACCACCCAAACTCTCCAACCTGGTTCCCCAATCCTTCCCCCAAAAATAAATAAACAAGTGGAAAATGTGGGGCTGCTCCTCCCGCTGACAACTGAGCTGAGAGACAGCCCGGGGTGGATGTCCAGAGAGCTCTGTCCCTTGGAATCTCTGTGCGTTGGCCAAGGCCAACAGCAAGCTCAAGTGTGAGCAAGTGTGCCGGAGAGCATGCGCTGATCTCCCACTGATCTGGGAGAGCCTTGGTCAAGCTAACTTACTCTCCAAACCTCAGCTTCCTCCTCTGGGAGATAGTGACGTTCTACATGTTCAAGAATTGATCAGAAATGTTCCTTATAACAAAGTGCCAGGCACATGGTAAGAGCTGATAAATGGCAGATGCTTGGTTCATCCCTGTGTCCAGCCCAGAAGCTTTTGTGTGCCTGACCCACCCCTGGGGTCTCTCCTGGATCCTCTTTCCAAGAATTCTGTCCATAACATGTCGTGGGGGACTTGACCTAGGCCAGTGCCAGAAGCAAAGCCTTGGTCAGTGTTGGCTACAAAGGGAGAGGAGATGGGTCCCCATGTGCTCCTTCCAGCTCACCCTGCTCCTGACACAGGGCTGATTGCAACTAGCCTTGAAGCCCACTGAGACCCATGGATCATTTTCTCAGCTTTTTCTGGAAAATGTCATTTCTGCTGTTCCTGTGCTTAGGAGAAGGAAAGGAAAAGTCCTGATTCCTGCAGCACCCTGGTTTCCTAGTATTTTAAACTCTTCTCCCATATCCGTACAAGACCATTCCTCCTGTTGACTCTCTAAAATCTGAGAAAGGGTGACAGGACATTGCTTGAAACATGAAGGGCAGAAGAATGGGGTGACTTTGACCAAAGTCACATGGTGCTGGGTGGTGGGAGTGAGATCTGAGCTCTTTTCCCTCTTGATCCTGAGCTAAACTTTTCTTGAAACAAAGCCAAGCTTCAATCTCAGGTGAGAGAAGAGGTGGGGCTCTAGAAACTTCTAGAGAACTGCAAAGATGGTCGTGGAGGCCCTGGCGGACAGAGGACCTGGTGCTAGCCATCTATTCCTTGAGGAGACATGGGAGATATGGGAGGCTCTGGGCGGGGCTGGCAGCATCTGGGGAAGAGGCTGAGGCACTGCCACAGGTGGGGTGTGTGTGTGTGTGCGTGCAAACATGCACACATGCAAGGGCAAGCTCCCTGCTGGGACTGATGCTTCTCTGCTTTTTCTGAGTTGGGGCCAGGGTCAAACCAGCCTCTGCTGCCTTCCTCCCTGGAGATTTGGGTTTCTTCCCATGAGTCACTGGAAGTCTCCATATGCCCCAGAATCTGGAACTACCTAGGAAATTGCCCAGTCAACCCCTTTAATGCCCATAAGAGAAACTGGACCCAGAGCCTGGAAGTGACATGATCTCGGCCCTAAATACCATCTTTCCAGTCCAGGGTTCTTTTCATGGCATTGCATTGCCCCCAAGTGTCCCCATGAGAAGTTTCCGCTGGTCCCATCCCCCTGTAAGCTAGACAGGCCTGGTCAGAGGGCTGACTTGCCTGAATCGGAGCTCTGCACGTTGAGGGGCAGTGTGCTCCCAAGGTCAAAAGCCAGTGTTCAGGTGCCAGCATTCCTACCCCTACCCCTGAGGACTCACGGAGAAGGGACGGTGCCCATGATGGCTGAGTGCTTTGTGCATGCTGTACCACTGCTTTCTGTCTGCCTGCAGGTCTCTGGCCCTGGGCCAGCAGTACACATCTCTGGGCTCACAGCCCCTGCTCTGCGGCTCCATCCCAGGCCTGGTCCCCAAGCAACTGCGATTCTGCCGCAATTACATCGAGATCATGCCCAGCGTGGCCGAGGGCGTGAAGCTGGGCATCCAGGAGTGCCAGCACCAGTTCCGGGGTCGCCGCTGGAACTGCACCACCATAGATGACAGCCTGGCCATCTTTGGGCCCGTCCTTGACAAAGGTACTACCCCTGGGCTGGGCGGGGAAAGGGTGTCACAACCCTGTGCCCTAACACCCCAGCTCTGTGTCCAGGGTCCCCCTGGGAGGGCGATAAAGGTGGTCATGACCACAGGAGAGGCCTCCATGAAAAGTAGGTTGGGTCCCTCTTCGGATAGACTCAGGTTGTCACCATGGCTGCCACACCTTCCCAGGTGCTGCTGGGGCTGAGGGCAGGCACCAAGGAGGCCACAGTCTTCCTTCCTGGTGGCTCTAGGCTCTGATGCGGCCATTTATGACATTTTCCCAACGCTGTTAAGTGCTATGCAAATAGTGCTTGGGAGCAGGGGTGGGGGCATTGTCACCCCTAGGTCCCTCCCATATGTAATGTCCTCAGAAGGTGAGGAAGTGGCCTGGCTTCCAGAGGTTTCTGTTGGTCCCCATGCCCTGTAAGCTGGAGATGCCCACAAATTGAGGCACCAGTGGGGCACTCACCTCTGGGTAACTTCCCAGCCGTCTGGCAACCTGGGAGTCTAACTGGCTGTGCCTCAAGGGATTGGGAGTCACACAATTTGACCTTGAACGTGGAGGGAGGATGAGCGGGGCAAATGCTCCCAAGAAAGGGACTCGGGCTCATGGGTACTGGTTTGAAGATGAGCAACTCTGCAGAGTGTCAGTGCCCAGGAGTTTAATGACCCTAGCCGGGCTGGCTCCAGCTGCAGCTTTGCCACCCAGGCCGCCCAGCCTGGCCCTCCCTCCTCTTAGAAGAGGGGCTGTGGGCAGGGGCAGCAGTGACGGCCAGAAAGAACAGGGAGCTGAGAGCCAGCTGGAGGGTGGGGCACAGAGTGGGGGGATGAGCTGACACCCCCATTTTAGAGTGCAACCCCTATTTACCTGAGCCTCAGGTGCACAGGGTCTGGCCAACCGACAGCCAAAATGCGGGCTATTGTCGTGGGACGGGAGGGTAATTAGCAAATCAATGGATGATGATTCTGTTTACGCTTCCATTACCAAAGCTAATTATTCCTTGTTGACATAAAAGGTTTGGCCTCTTAATTGGGGCCAAGTGGCGGCGGTTTGCATTTCAAACCTGATCTCGTCGGTGTGTCAGTCTCACCGCTTTCCGGTGCCCCACCTCGGGCCGGCAGCGCTTAATCCTGCAGCCGTGCGTCTAGACGCGCTCCCCGCAGCGAGACTCGCCTTCGCACCGCAGCGGGAGCCGGGCCTTTGAGCGCGCTACCCCCGCTCCCGGTGCTTAACGTGCAGCTCGCCGCCGCGGCTCCCGGCACACGCCCTCAGCCCTACATTGCGAGAGGGCAGGTCTGTGTGGCGGGCGCGGTGCGTCAGAGGCTTTGGGGGAATTTGCGGACAGCCGCGGAGCGAGTGTCCCGCGCGCACACACACGCGCCCCAGTGCCCGGTGCGCAGAGCCGGGGCGCTGATCCCGGGTTCGAACCCAGCTTCAGGCCCACGTCCGCACTCCGCCGCGGGCCGGTCCCCGCACCCCGCTGTGTGGGCGGCCCGGGGTTAATCTCTGCCCTCCGCTTGGAGCCCCGGGTGGCGGGGAACAGTCGGTCTGTTCCGGGGCTGCGTCTCCTCCCGCAGGGCGCAGAGGACGGGCCCGCGGCGGCTGCCACCGGCTGGGCGCTCGCACTGCCCGGAGGGCCGGGGGCGCGGGGGTCGGCGGCCGGAAAGGGAGAGCCGCGACGGCCGGGCGCAGGCGGCGGCGCGCGGCCCGGGCGCCTTCCCGGCGGGCGGGGGCGGCGGGCCCGTCGCGGCTCCGGCGGCTTGAAAAGGGCCCAGCGCCGCCCCCCACGCGCGGCCGGCCGCGCCCGCTGCGGCCGCCGCGCCATTCACACGCCCTCTGGCCATTCGGCGCGGCGCGGGGGCGGGGGCGCCGCTTCAATGGGGATTTCGCGGCCCGGCGCGGGGCTGGGGGCGCGGCCCGGCCGCGGGAGCCGCCCGTTGCTACGCGTGCGCCGCGCCCGCGGCCCGGGCCCGGCGGCCGCATTATGCGGGTAATGCGGTGTGACACCGCGCGAACAAAGGCGGATTGACCGGCCCAGCGGGCCCCGCCGGACGGGGACCGGCACAGCGGGGCTGTCAGCGCCGCTCCCAGGCTAATCCCCGCCCCCGCCGCCCCCGCGTCCCCGGGGCTGGGAACCGAGCGCAGCCCGCGGCCAGGGCGCCGCCGCCACCGCGAGAGGCCGCGCGAGCGGAGGGCGCCCGCCTCGAAGCTCGCCCGCCGCCCCGCTCCCGCCGGGCGCGAGGGCCGGAGGGGCTGGAACTGGGCGACGGGAGCGCAGCGGCGGGGAGCCCAGGCCGGGATCGAACCGTCGGCCGGGGCAGCGCAGGCTCCAGTGCGCGGGCGGTGCAAGTGGATGGCCCCTCTGCAGGTGGCCCATGAGGGCGCTGGGACCCCAAGAGAGGCAGCCAAAGCTACCAGGGGTTCCCGGGCTTGCTTGTCCGCGGAGCTGTGTGTGATCTCCCTGGGCGCTCGGGACGGCGGACATAGCCCAGGAAAGGAGGCTGGAGCCCTGGCTTCCACGCCAGCCCTGCGTCTTGCAACCTGAGCAAGGTGGCAAGTCACCTCCTGGCTCCAGGGTCGACTCCAGGAGGAGAGAGATGGTTGGACTGCAGATCTTGCAGGCCTTTGCCTCCCTAATCGTCAATGTCTGTTATCTATACAATGGGCCTACAGTGAAACTCTCCACCTCCGCGGGTTAAGGGGACGAAATGGAGCTCGCACTGGGGCACACGCAGGGTTCAAAGGTGGTTATCACTGTAATGAGGTGGGACAGCCCTGGGAATCTCCCCTTCCCCTTCCATGGACCCTGGGGCAGAACCAGAGGAACTGCCCTGTGTCTTCACCCTTCTGGGAGGGGCTTGGCATCCTCAGTCCAAAACCCCTTGCTGGGTGGAAGGCCAGGAGAATGCGGAGGGGGAGACTGAGGCACAGGCCATTGTCCTCCTGGTCAGGAACCCTGGAGGCAGGGAGAGGCTGTATCCATTTTACAAAGAGGGTCTTGAGGCTCAGAAAAGGAAAGCGTCTGCCCAAGTGCATCCAGATGGGAAATAAGTGGAGGGGAGGGGAGGGCCTGTGCTGAGGTCCCTGGAGCTTGGGAAGGTGGAGGGCAGGAGGCCTGGGGCCAGGAAGCAGCTGTGGCTACCTTATCTCTGTAGCCTCCTGCTAGAGCTAGCAGTTGAGGCACTGGGCTAACTAGTTAGCGGCCTGGGCCTCAGTTTGCTCGTCTGTAAAGTGGGGATACCCACCAGAGTCTGGACCAGTCGAAGTGCCTTGGGAGGACACCATGGTTCTTCCCTAGCCTCCTCCTGCCGTCTGGGGAGGTCGAGTCAGGACAGGTGCGTCCCAGGCCGATGCCTGAGCACTGCCCCCCATTCCCTCCCCTCAGCCACCCGGGAGTCGGCCTTCGTGCACGCCATCGCCTCTGCCGGCGTGGCCTTCGCCGTGACGCGCTCCTGTGCCGAGGGCACTTCCACCATCTGCGGCTGCGACTCGCACCATAAGGGGCCTCCCGGCGAAGGCTGGAAGTGGGGCGGCTGCAGCGAGGACGCCGACTTCGGGGTGCTGGTGTCCCGGGAGTTTGCAGACGCGCGTGAGAACAGGCCGGACGCGCGCTCGGCCATGAACAAGCACAACAACGAGGCGGGTCGCACGGTGAGCCGGCTGCCCTCGTCCGGGTGGAAAACTTTCTGGGAGCCCTCCGGGGACCCTTTGCCTAAGCGTCGCCCTGCCCCACCTGGGCTGGCCTCACCTGGTCCCCCACCTCCCTCCTGGCAGCCCTGTGCATCCTGGGCTCCCACCCACACCCCACAGTCACCCCTTCTGTCCACCCTCTTTCCTCCTTGGGCTGTTGCTGCTCTGAGCCGGGGATGAGTGTGCCTGGGAATGTGGCCCCCATGAGATCAGGCCCCTGCCTGCCCATCCTAGGCACTTCGGCTGGCTGTGTAGGGCTGTGAAGTGCCCAGGGCCTGGCTTTGAATTCAGCTTCCACCCCTTCCTTTGGGTAAAAGACCTAGGACAAGTCACTTAAGCTCCCAGCCTGTTTCCCCATCTGTTAAACAGGGATAGCCTATTTCCTAGGGCTTTGGGAAATGGCCACGGTACAATGTCTGCCCGTGCTCCCGGTGTGAAGGGGAGGGGCGCAATGGTACCCAGCAGTTCTCCTGGTGTAGAGGAGGTGCAGTGAAGGCTGCGGGAAGAGGGGGTGGGGAAGGGGAGGGTCAGTCTGGGGGCCAGCCACTGTTCCTCTTCCCCAGACCATCCTGGACCACATGCACCTCAAATGCAAGTGCCATGGGCTGTCGGGCAGCTGCGAGGTGAAGACCTGCTGGTGGGCCCAGCCTGACTTCCGCGCCATCGGTGACTTCCTCAAGGACAAGTATGACAGTGCCTCGGAGATGGTGGTGGAGAAGCACCGGGAGTCCCGAGGCTGGGTGGAGACCCTCCGGGCCAAGTATGCGCTCTTCAAGCCACCCACTGAGAGGGACCTGGTCTACTATGAGAACTCCCCCAACTTTTGTGAGCCCAACCCTGAGACGGGCTCTTTTGGCACAAGGGACCGGACTTGCAATGTCACCTCCCATGGCATTGATGGCTGCGATCTGCTCTGCTGTGGCCGAGGCCACAACACGAGGACGGAGAAGCGGAAGGAGAAATGCCACTGCATCTTCCACTGGTGCTGCTACGTCAGCTGCCAGGAGTGCATCCGCATCTATGACGTGCACACCTGCAAGTAGCAAGACAGGTAGGGCTCAGGTGGGGAGGCTGGGGAGCCCTGGTGCAGGGCCCTGGGTTCGTCTCCTCATTTTGATGACCCTGTTCTATTTCTGCACTATCCAAGACACACAAGTTTCCACAGGCAAAATAGGAAGCCAGGATTTCCCAAGCTTCAGTGGGCACGGTCCTGGGGCAGAGACATGGTGGATTTCACAAAGCCTAGGTGATAGCCAAGCGTGTGCACAGAAGCTGTAAGCAATCGATTAAAATGCTTATATAAGTCAGCTCACGATGAGCCAGATCAAATTATTGCACGACCACTAGCTATCATTGGAACCAGAAGAGGGACACTGTGGGGTTGGAAACTGGGAGATCTGACATCTGGTCCCAACTTGGTCCCTAACTTCCTATTGTTTCACTTCTCTGGGCCTCAGTTTTCTTACTGTAAAATGAGGGGCTTTAAAAATAACTGAAATAGTAAGGTAAAAGTCTCTTCTACCCCCAGGGCAGAGTCGTTTTGCACTGACCTTGACCTTAGAGGGCAAGTTTTCGCACAAGCATGAATCCTGCCAAGCTCAGAGGGTGGGTGGGGGGAAGCGGCGCATAAGCCCATATCCCGGCAGATCTGAAGCTGGGGTGGAGCGGGGATCGCTCTCACCGCGTTTATGGATGCTGTTGGGGAGGAGGAGGGGTTCAAGTTCAGAGTGACTGTGATGAGTAATGAGGGATCAAAGGCTGGTGGATTATGTTCTCAAGCTTCCCAGAGGTGGCCTGCGTGGGAGGCACAGCGCACGGGTCCTTGGATCCTAGGACCCCAGGACAGGTTGGCGTTGGTGTGGAGTGGTCCCGGAGCCCCGGGTGGAAGGTTCCTATGGCCGATGTGCCGTTTCTCTTTTTTCTGTCCCCTGAGAAGGAACATAGTATGTCGTGGCATGAGTGTGGGTTTTGGAATGAGGCCTTGCCCCGGTCAAGCTCCTGCCACTTGCCAACCGTGTGACCCAGACAAGACATTCCTCATAGACCTCTTTCTTCATCTGTCATCCTTCCCAGAGGGGCTGTGAGGAACAAGTGGGGACAGGGCTTGGGTCATTGAGGAGCACTTGCCTGCTGGGTCCCTGCTGGCTGGGGCAGAGTTAGGGGACAGCAGCCTGTGACAGGGCGAGCACCCTATTTAGTGATGCAGTTCCACACGGGGCACCCGGGAGCTAGTGGTGCCTGTCTGTGCTGTAGGGGACTGGGGGTGGGACAGGACCCTCTGAGGCACGGGCGGTACCTGACGTTGTGGGAATAGCTCTTGTTGAGGGGCAGCTCACCCCGCACATCTGGGAAGCCCCTGGGTGCAGCTCAAGTTATGCCCTGGCAGGCACGGTCCGGAAAAGTAGCAGGAGGCAGCACCTCTCGGTGGCGTCTGGAAGAAAGCCGTGTGGGCGGTGGGACGAGGACAGAGGTGAGTTCCGGCTCCACCATGCGCCAGCCGTCTAACCATGGACGCCTGGTTTCCTCGCCTGTCCAGCAGAACTTTATGAAGCTCGAGTCAGCTAGCAGACAGGGATGCTTTTCTGCACACAGACTAACAGGGAGCGTGTGAATGCCATCAGAGTCATGACATAGGATGGTCACTGTGCAAAGAAACAGCACCATCACTTAGTTTCATTTACTGCTTTTCAAAACGGTAGAAGAAAAGTCAGCGAATAAGAGAGACCTCACAGGCGCACTGTGCAGCGTCGGGTGGCAGGAACGTTTGAAGACCACGGTGGCCTCCTTCCTCTGATGTTCACTATGGCCAGAGGCTACACGGTGTCCCCACTACCAAATGGGACAAAGCCCTGGCGATTTTGAGAGGGGGCCGTGTGGGGACAGCAGAGTTTAAAACATGAACGCGGGGCAGGGCCTAGAGGGCCGTCTGTCTCTCCTGCCCACTGCACAGGCGGGGACCCTGCGTTAGTGGCTGGGGCCCAGGTCTCTGCCTCCAGAAGGCCCCAAATGTTCATCCTGTGGAGGCCACAGCAGCAGCCAAGCCCCCAGTGGCTCCAGGGGACAGGGGGTCACAGATACAGAGCCCTGCATCCCTGCCCGGCACCTCCCCTCGTGGGCCCCTGTGGGCAGCTGAGATCAGCCAAGGGGGGCAGTGAGGTGCTGGGGTCGGCCCTCCTTGTTCAGAAAATCCACCCCAAACCATGTGCTAACCACCGATCCTGGGAAAAAAATAATACTCTCCAGCGATTTTTCTACCCATTTCTGAAATGGACAACTGATGTTTTTTTCTGACAATCTTATGTAAAGCATTACGTAGACATGGGTTCAAGATGCCACATCCAGGTAGTTCATAGTCCCCAAGCCCCTCCCGTGCTCCCTCTGGAGCCCAAACTCTGGGATGAGTGGCGAATGCTCTCCCAGTGTGGTCCCCTTTTGATGAGTAGTCAACTTGCTGCGAGACCCCAAGCAGGCTCCGAGCCCTGGTTTCCACCTTTGTGAACTGGGGGTAAGAACCATATCCCTAGCAGCGTTGTCCCAGGGACTTTAGACGGTACACGTGGAGAGCCCGGCATGGGGCCCAAGGGCTCGTGGATCAGCAGGGGACATTCCTGGGCCACGCAGAGCTGACCTCCAGGAGCGGCTGTCCCCAAGCTTGCTGCCTGCTCTGGCACCATAAGCCAAGGATTGTCTGAGACCTAGTTACTTCTTCCTGTCCTTACATCCATGCTGACACTGCAGGCAAGACGGGAGCCAAGACACAAGCTGGCAGGGACCGCAGGGAACGGAGCCTCTAGCTCTTCTCTTGGCTGCCCCGTCAGTTTTGGCAGTGCAGGCAGGAGAGAGAAGGTGCCCTCCATGCCCTCGGGGGAGAGCCCCTGTCAAATGGCTTTAGGCCACAGGAGGGGCAGAGAGTCCTGCATGGGTCCTACAGGTGTGGGAAAAACACCTTTTCTATCGAGTATAGCTTTTGTCCAGTGTCTCTGGCTAACCATTGATCAGTACCTTAGCACTGGCATCTGCAGCCACCAGATTCGTTCCTCGTCACTCCCGTTTTGTGAGCATGGGGAGCCGGAAGGGTTCTGGACAGGAGTCAAGTGTCCTGGGTGGCCCCGCTGCATCTGTCACTGACTTGCCGGGGGGCTTGGGCATGCTTGCGTCTTGCTGAGCCTCAGTGTCTGCCTGTGTGAAGTAGTCTTACCTTGGCCCTGCCAGCTCCCAGAGGACTGGAGTTGTGGGAACCCCTGCGAGATCGCCTCGTGCCTCAAATCCGTGGTCAGGGGGAACCATACAAACGGAGAAAATGGACACGTTGGTGCTTGGACGGGAAGGAGTTATTCATAATTAATTAAGTAGACTTTCTCCCGTTTGGACAGTTCATTATCAAGCTATTTGGTGCGATACAAAGACACAGTGTGTGCCGGGCACGAGCCCAGCACAGCAGTGACTGAAGTTGGGGACTGGGCCCTGGGACTGGCCGGCTGTCCCCCAGTCTCTGTGCCAGGTGGATTCCCGCACTAAGGCAGGTACCTGCTGCTGGGCTCCCTCTCAGCTAGAAGTGGGGGAGGCAGGATCGGGAGGACTCGACAGCCCTACTGTTCCTGTGAATCACGTGACCTCCCTCAAAGGCAGGCCCCAAAGTGCAGGAGAGGGTGTGGAGAAGCCACCAGCACCCTCATCACTTCTAAGCGCAAGAGAAATGTTGAGATCTGCTGGCAGCCTCTGGTCTTCGAACCCCAGTGGGTGTCCTCTCTGGGGAAGGAACTTGCTCAGCCTCAGTTTCTAATTCTTCCTATTTATTTTCCCCAAGGGTGCTGGGAAGGGGTGAAGCGTGTGGCTGGGCAGAGTCAGTCCCATGGAAAGCAGGACCTGGAGCCGGGCTCAGCCCTCAGCGTCGGACAGCAAGGAATACGGACTGTTGCCAGCTGCGTGTGGTAAAGGACCCGGACCCAGCCCACCCGTGACAGGGAGCGTCTCCTCCCTCTCTCTCATCTTACGTTTCTCACCCTCCTCTGGCTGGTGTGTGGCTTTTAAAGAATGGGGCTTTCTTTTTAGTTCTCTAGGGTCTGATAGGAACAGACCTGAGGCTTATCTTTGCACATGTTAAAGAAAATAAAAATGAAAAAAAAAATTCTACTCCAACAGAACAGGCTGGGCTGATGTGAGCTCTCGGCCTGGCGGTAACGACGTCAGCGTGGGCAAGACTTCGCCTCCAAACTGCTTCTTATGGTGACATTCCAGGACGCTTGTGAGGTGGGAGTTGGGAAGTAGGACGCACCCCTGCCGTCTCCTTTTCTCTGTCTACTCCCGTTCCAATCTGATATACTTTCACATTCTGATAAAAGCCATAGGTTTAGCCAGGATGAAGTGGTAGGGAGGTCCACGGCAGTTGTTAGAGTAGGATTTTGAGTTTTGAAGAACTAGCGGCGCAGGGTGGCCTGGTAAGCTGTTTGAAGAGCAGCTGTGTGTTCTTCTCAGTCCCATTCTCTCTATAACCCTGTTCTGCACGAGAGGCAGTCAGATCTCAAACTCTTTTTCTACCATTCTCAGTTTCCGCCGCTAATGCAGTTCCTTTTTTTTTTTTTGTAGTGGACGTTGTAAATAGGTTATGTATGGGGGCAAGTCTTCTCCAGCTCAAATAGCTTCCTAGAGAAAGAAGCGGTATCTTTGGAAGGGGCCATTCAATCCCTCCCAGCCCTGCTCACCTGCAGTCTCCATAAAAGCCACTCCAGGTAGAGCAGTTGGACTCTAGGTCACCTTAGTATAAACTAGACAAAGGGTCAGTGAGAGTCTATTCCTGAAATTTCAATTTTGTGACTAGCAGATGGGGAGGGTGGAAACGACCCCTTCGTGTCCTCTCTGGTAGGGACACGTCTCCCTGCACCCTTTCCCCTCTCGGGCCTATGTGAGCAAACAGAAACGCCACGTTCTTCACCCCAGCTCTTCCCACCCTCACCTGCATGCTGGGATAGCATCGACCCACGCTGTTACCAAGCGTCTGGATTAGCGTTCAGAGCGGGGCAAGCAGTCACTGCTCCCGTGGGTTAAGCATCTCTCGGCCGAGCGCCCCTTGCTGTGCCTGGTCCTGTCCCACGTGCTAGAGAGCTAGCAGAGTGGAGGTGAATGGCTTTGGTGGTACCAACTGATCCAACAGCTCTGTCTCAAGGAGAATCAGAAGGAAGAGATGCAGCAGGGGAACAAAGCAGAACAAAGATTTTTCTTTTTCTCCCTTCTCTCGGTGTCTACCTAACCCCGACCTAAGATACCGGGTCGGCGATCTCCCGGCTTGTGTAGGCAGGCTTGCCAAGACGGCCGCCCCAAGCCTGCCTGCAGTCTCGAATCTGCCGGCCAGAGGCTCTGCTAAAGATTCACATCCCACCTGCTCTACAGAGTCCGAAATGCCCCTCCCATCTCACCTTAGACTGCAGAGTTTTCAGTCATTTCCACTGGATAATGCTTGCTTTAAGTGAGAATACTTCAGCAGAATGGATACAAATTTTCAAAAGAGTCTTTTCATATCTATGTATTCTATATTAAAAGTGATAAAGTCATGTTTCTGGGGCGTATTCAAGTAGCTGACAAGTAATTAATAATAGTACATGAGTGCATTGTAATTATTCTCGCCGTAGTCAGGTAATAGTATCCAACAGAAATTTCCTACCAACCTGCTGTATCCAAAGTTTTGTAAAAAGTTGTAGAAGTTGTTGATCTTTTTGATTTTATATTCAAAAAGTCTCTTTTTATAAATATTATTTATTATACAATGTATATACCTTTGAGTTAACTAAGATTATATATTATATAAATATATATATATTTGGAGAAAATATATTTCATCATGCAGTTTTTTTCTGTTAAGTCATTAAAGAGAAGGTAAATGAACATAAAATGGATACATTGTACAATGTGTGGAGTTTCCAGATTAATGCTCAGTAAGTCAAGAATATCTGATTCTGAATTGGGCGGCCTCAGCTAATTAAATGACCAAATTAAGGTCATTTCCTTTGTTCGCTATACAAGATCGTCTGAGATGTCATGGACAGTGGGTCTGATCTACTACAGGACTTTCTTATAGGCTTAGTTTGCTCTAAGTCAACTTCTAACAAGGAATTTCCAACCTGGGCAGTAATTCATTTCACAGACTCAAGCATATTCAATGTACAAACTAATGTCATAGGCACTTCTCAAAGATATGACCCCAGGCCAGCTGACGGGGGGGTAGGGGGGGTAGCATTGCCTTAATCCCCTCCTCACTACATGTTTGCAACTCCAGTTATTGGGAAAATAGGATTTTCTCTATTGAAAATGAAACTTGACCAAAAATGGTCTATCCCCTGCTAGCTCCACTTTGAAAGCTAAGCTATAGAGAGGTGGGTTAGTTTCCAAGAAGACATGGTGTGCCCTGGGCTCTGGGTTGTCGGGAACAAGTGCCATTTGAAGTTGTAGAGTGGTCTGGGCAGAAAGGACCTACAAGTGGGCATGCTCTGGGGACTACCACTTCAAAAAGGATCACCTGGAGCACCAGAAGTTATGCCTTCTTAACAATGACATGCTATAACTCAGTTATATGATAGTAGACAACCCTTTGGTTTTCAGACCTACAAAAAACGTCACCTTAACTTTATCTGGCACGATGTTTCAGAAAACAGCTAAAATGTTTTTTCTTTTTCTTTTTTCTTTTTTTTTGAGACATAGTCTCGCTTTGTTGCCCAGGCTAGAGTGAGTGCCGTGGCATCAGCCTAGCTCACAGCCACCTCAAACTCCTGGGCTCAAGCTATCCTGCTGCCTCAGCCTCCCGAGTAGCTGGGACTACAGGCATGCACCACCATGCCCGGCTAATTTTTTCTATATATATTAGTTGGCCAATTAATTTCTTTCTATTTATAGTAGAGAGGGGGTCTTGATCTTGCTCAGGCTGGTTTCGAGCTCCTGACCTCGAGCAATCCGCCCGCCTCGGCCTCCCAGAGTGTTAGGATTATGGGTGTGAGCCACAGCGCCCGGCCTAAAGTGTTTTTTCTTTCTCTTTCTCCTGATCTACCTCCTATTAGGAATAAATCTTATCCATCTCACTACACAGAAAAATGGTAACAGGAAAATAGAGCAGTATGCCTCGTGTGGTGGAGATGGGCTGCCTTGTGATCCGTTGAGACCTTTAACCTTAGATTAGGAATGGCCACTAGATGTCCATGAACTTCATTTTGCTCATGATATGTCTTTATTTAGCCTGTAAAAAGCTTAAGCCACAAAAACTGTTATGTTTCTGTAATTCAAGGAATGGACATGTAAGGTATACCAATGTCTTCCATAGCCCACAGTGCCGGGCATCTTTTACTTCACTTTTACATAAAGCTAATACAGGTTGAGTAGCCCTTATCTGAAATTCCTGGAACCAGAAGTAATCTGTATTTCAATTTTTTTCTGGATTTTGAAATATTTGCACATACATAGTGAGGAATCTTATGGATGGGGATCCAAGTCTAAACACAGAATTCATTTATTTTTCATATATACCTTACATACATAGCCTGTGGTCATTTTATGTAATATTTTTAATAATTTTGTGCACAAAGTTTTGACTGCATTTAGACTTCCATCCATCACATGAGGTTTCCACTTTATAGCATCACGTTGGCGCTCAGAAAGTTTTGGATTTTGGAGCATTTCTGATTTTAGATTTTTCAGGTTAGGATGCTCAATCTGTCCTCATCTATCCCAGCATCCTGAGTCCCTTTTATTTTTAACCTATAAGATTACCAACTAGTTAAGTGGTCCTTATTCACACTTATGAAGGCTATTTGTAATCCTATGAATAACCATACTCTGAGATTAAAGAGAATGCAGTTTATAGCTGTGCTTGAACATTTAGTTTCCCCATAAGCATGGCTGGTGTGCGCAAGAGTGAAGTCAACTGAACAAACGTATGGCTGCTACACTATCATTGTTTCTCCTACCTTAACAGAGAATTTTCTAGGAGACAAAAAATTACCTTACATCATTCTTATACTCATGAGATAACCGGTTGGGTGGAGACTGTATGCTGGGAAAATTTTAACATGAGCCCTCCTTGCAAATTCTGTCTTCACCTACTCGTGTTTCTGGCCGATCACAGACACCATCTCCTGCATCTTAGGGCCACGGTGTCCGTGCAGCACACACCCTCTGTGGGCTCATCTCCAGGACCGTCTCAGGACAGCTTGTCAGCTGATGAGACACTCTAGATCATTTTGCAATAACTTCTGAAATTTACATGCTTTTTTGAACTCTCACACACACACCTTTCCCAGTCATTTCTTTGAAGAGGCTATGGACCAAGTTGCCAGGCAAGGAAAATGAAATCCTGCTTTTACCTTCTGTGTTTGGGCTGGGGTGGTTGTTTATAGCTGAATCACTGCTTCAACACGTCTGTTCATCAGGTTTTGACTATTAAACATACTTCAATCTACTCTGTGATTTTGTGACTTGTTGCTGAAACTTTATTAAAGGGGAAGTTGTTCGTTGTAATTTTTAGGATATGAAAAGACAGCCTTAAAGGAAAACATATCTCAGACTTTAACCACAACTATACACTTTTTCTGTTACATTAAAAAAAAGTGTCTCAGTGAAAATACATACATTTAGTAAGGATAACTTTTTTTTTTTTTTTGAGACAGAGTCTTGCTCTGTTGCCTGGACTAGAGTGCCATGGCAGCAACCTCAGACTCCTGGGCTCAAGCAATCCTCCTTCCTCTGCCTCTCGAGTAGCTGGGACTATTGGTGTGCACCACCACGCCTAATTTTTTATATTTTTTGTCGCCTGTCTCATTTTTCTATTTTTAGTAGAGACGGGGTCTCTCTCTTGCTCAGACTGGTCATGAACTCCTGACCTCAAGTGATCCTTCTCCCTCAGCCTCCCAGAGTGCTAGGATTATAGGCGTGAGCCATTGCGCCCAGCCAAAATAACCTCCTCCTTTTGAGGTTTTGATTACAAAAAAATAGCCAGTTAACAGTTCATCCACAGATGAAGACATCTGTGGCAGCAGTTAGTTGGAGCTTCCTCATAATCTCATAGTCTACTGCCCAGTACCTTCTCCAGGCTATGTGGGGTTCAGGTTAGCCTACCCTTCCCCACATAGTCTTGCTAATTTTCTGGGCTGCCTCTCATCCTAACCTGAGCCAATACTAAAGATCAGGGTTTAGGCTAAGAGATCCGATAGCTCAGAAAAATGCAAAACAATATGAAGGATACCAAAATGAACCACAGGAAGAAAACTCACTGAGAGTATTTAAGTTCCTTGGTTTGTACCTTTCATAGAAGGGAGTAATTCTAATTGAGAACCAACTTTGCTTTTTAGTTTATTACTCACCTTGTTTGTGGCTTTGGTACCTCAGTTTTTTAATAAGGCAAAAGAAGTATAAAGCATGAAGATTCTTGTGAATTAACTTTGATATGCTAATGATGTTTTTCATTTTAAATAACTATACTTTCTAAATAATTAAGAGATTTTAAAATATATAATCCATCCCCTTATGCAAGTTATAACAAAACAGGAGGGGTTTCTTTTCTGAGCCCTCTTCTTCCTACATTCCTATCAGTTATATATGTTGGTTTGTACAAAACAACTGGGCTACAGAATGTTTTCAAGTATATTTACTCTTTATTGCATTCCTTCATTTGAATTAAACAATATAATATTTATTTATACTTTTCAATATAGTTTTGGACAAAACACAAAGACATTAACCTCATTTAACAAGAGACGAAAGTTAATACAATGTGTGCTGCTTTCACGGGAGGAGGAATCAGGATACTGGCCACCAGGAATCACAGAATCTCACAAGAGAATCCACTTCTTAAAAAGCCACAAAATAAGCTAGGGAAGAAAACTCAAGACAAAATAGATATGACATACAAGTCTCTACCGAAAGCACATAGTTAGCAAGATTTGGAGATGATTTGCCTTTTACCCTGGGGACAAATGACAAAGCCACACCTAAGGGCCACTATGCCCACAAGCCTTGTAGGTGGTGTGTGGTGTAAGCACCTCAGGGTGGCTTCTGAATGCTTGTCCTCAAACTTGAAGCAGCAACAGAGAGAGAGAGAGAGGCATGCTCCGTGAGTCTCATCACCAAACATGATGACCTAATTAAATCCCTTCTAAGTCAGTTATGAGACAATTCACCCTCAAAAGGACTCAACGAGTTCTTCTTCCCCTTGGAAGAAGCCTGTGGAAGGTAAAGGAAGTATGTTCACGTACTGGAATGGACAGTAAAGAATTGAGGGGAGAGGGCTAGAAAATGGCTTATTTTTCTGGAGAATAGTGTTTTATTTAGATACTAGATAGTACAGATAATTTAAAATAAAGGAAGAATAAATTCCAAGTAAGTCATTAAGCCAAGGAAAAAAGCAGTGATACTAATAAGCTTTTAATATTATACTAAGGAACTGACCCACTTAGAGTTGGACACTAATTAGTGCCGAGAGGCTTGTAAATTACTTTGTTTTAATAACTCTTTTCTGTTTAGGGGTGTACACTTTTCCATACCTTTCATACGTTTTTAACATCTACCAAGAAGCAATAATTAGCATATCCCTTACCACAGAGCAAATTAGTTACTTTAAGGGGAAGTCACAGCCAACACAGTAATAATCTGACTTTCTATTAAGAAAGATCTCCTAATTGCAACTTGGAAACATCTCTGAAAATGATTGAGAACAGCATCTTAGATATTCAAAACCCTGTTTCTTCAGGCAAAGATAACAACCAGTTTTGTGGGAGAACCTTTACCAAATACCCAACTACCTTTAGTGTTAGCTCAGGACAGCTGTAAGAGGATCCCTGTGTCCCACACCTTGATTCACTGCTCCTGGCTTGTGTGCAGAAAGTTGACCTTATAGGCCAAGTGTTGTCCTGCAACATTCATTACATTTATTGAGAGTGTTCGGATGGTGAGGGTGGAGGTGGCAGAGAGCTGAAACTGTGTAGTGTTCACAAGTACAGGATGCTTTCCACATGGAGACTGAGTAAGAAGGAATCGTCTTAGCTTGCATGGAAAGGTAAGCACAGCATTCTAAAGCAAATTGACACCTTCCACGAAACACTAGAATATCTCAGTAAGCATAAGGAAGGGAGTTTTATTGCACTAATCATGCAGAGCAAGCCTGTGTTGAAGGTAGAAGACGTTCCACTTAGTCCAGTCTCGTGAGAAAGATGAGTGAAGATCCCAGGCCATCTTCAACTTGGTCACTTCCCTGGGTCACTGTGTGTTGCAAACAGTCCATTTTCAATCAAAGTCAAGGGGGCTACTGCAAAAGAAATACCCAAAACACACAAAAAAACCCAGATGAGGGTCTGCAAAAAGTCATTCAGCACAAAATCACTAAAAGCTTCTTAACTGTTTTTTCTACATTTTCTACTATTTGCTATTAGATGAGCACTTCACAAAAGAAAATGATCACAGCCCCATGCATGTAGAAGAAGGTTCCAATGTATATGTACCCTCAAGATTTTCCCGCATTGTGGCAAGGAAGGTTTGTGAAGCAGGACAGGGAAAGCAAACCAACAGTACAACCACCTTCCTTGCTTGGTCTCTCAGACCTACAACACAGCAAAGAACTCTAATAAGTGGAAGCAAAGTCATCTAAGAAAGAAACCATCAAATTTATACACACGATATAGCAACTCTTAGAATAGGCATGTGGTTTGGTTGAGGGTCTTAAGTGTTGTATGTACTTACGCTCCTTCTTCTCTTAAGAGGGCCAAAAATTTTCTCACGCGGTATTCAGGATCCATCTAAATGCATCAGAAGAAATAAAGAAGATGGTTAATGGTACCTTCTAACAACTGGGCTCTTACTTCATACCAAGGAAAGGCTTGGTTTCACACTTCCATCCGTGCTCTGCTGAGTCACAGGAAGGTGTTACCTGCTCCTTGACCATATCAAAGCAGATGACATCACTCAGGAGGGGTGAATAGGATTGCCTAGCATGGAGAGTCACTGTGCACTGTGTTCCAAATGACCCAAGCCAGCTGGTCATGACAGGCACCTTGGCTGAGTGCACCCTGAGCTGGTGCCTGTGTGCAGATGCATAGTGCACCTGGGTGACTGGATGGGGGGCCACTCATAGGGGTGCAAATGACATCCTATTCATCTAAGGCGTAAAAGTATATAAAAGTCAGACCAAATCTGAAGAAACCACATTGAGGTTATTAAACAACTAAACAAAAGCTTATTAACTCTACATAACCAACAATGTAGCTTTTCTGAGATTCAGTATCCCTTGTATAATTTCTTCTTTGCAATTAATAAAAAAGTTGTGCTTAAACTATTATTCAAAAATGAGGAGTACTGCTGACTCCTCTGGCATAATCTCTGGATAATTTGTGTCTCCTGTGACTGAGAATATGCCACGAGTCTAAGCTAAGGTGGTGGAGCTTTGTTTCAGGTGCTTGGTTCAGGTCGTTATTATTAATGATCTCTACTGGTTTTCATTTTCTATTCATATTTATACTAATTTGTTAAAATATATTTTATTCTGCTTGGTCCACCAGAGATGTGAAGTTACCTAGAAAACGATCATTAAAAACATCATTAATTCCTGAAGATGAATTTTTGTTATAAGCAACACACCTAATTTTTAAAATATGTTTCAGGGCAGGAGTCTGTTTCCTGGGAGGGAACTCCCTGCCCTCCAGGAAGAGCTTTCAAATGCTCAGTGCAGCTGAAGGTAAATGTGCAATCAGATTCCCCCTCTGACCACTTTTTTTTTTTAAAGACCTCTTCTATTCCAGAAAAACATTGAACAGAAGTTTCAAATGTATCAAAGTTAAGAGGTCAGACTACAAAGGACTAAGAAAAAGTGTGAATAGTTAACAAAAGAAACATTTTTCCTCTTTGGGAATAGAATTACATATGAATCAATTGTCAAGTTCTTTAAAAAAAAAAAAAAAAGGAACTGGCTAGGGCTCAGTTGTAGTCAGTACTTGCAGTTCTTTGCCCATTAAATATATTTAATATGTGTGAGCAACGACTTACTGACTTGCCTGTAGCTATGGAATTAAAAGTCAAGAGAAAGGGAGGAAAAAAGTAATCTAGATAAATGACTTTATTCCCTCAGGTGACATCCAGTCAGAGCAGATCCTCGCACTGTGCAAGTTTTAACAGAATCATGTGTAGTGAACAGAGAGGTGACATGACTTACATTCTGCTAAACTACATGCCTCTTCGCCGAGGCTCCGTCTCTCTAAGGCAGATCTAAAGGGAATTCACTCAGCTGCACGAAATCTATTTGACATGAAGGGGTTCAAACTCAGAGGCCTATGAAGTGTCAGTCGCTGAAGATTAGGCCTGAGTGCCCCACTCTCACTTTCTACCCCACATACATAAGAAGCATTAACTTGATCACTGACCTGCAGGCATCAAAGGAGGAGGAAGGCATGGGGGTTGGGAAGAAAAACCCACATAGTTTCTTCTATGCAATTATTAAAAAAAATTGTGCTGTAACTAAAAAAAACAAGAGTAGAGTTGACTATCTGACAGATTTATCTTTTTTCAAGGAAAGAGCCAATACACCTGTATTTGCACCTTTACCAAGAATAAGCCTAAGCAAAGTGATTAGTCTACAAATTTAATTTATTGTTCAAAATGGAAAAGAAATAAATTGACTTAAAACCAGTCCATCTGAATATTCAGTAGATTAAACTTTAATGTTTCTGAAAACCACAAAAATTTTATTTTAAAATATATTTACCCAAAAAGATTAAAAAGCATTCACATCATGCTTGCAATCTGTTACTGATCCAAGAGCCTATTTCAGATGTAACTATGAAACTTAAACTTCCCCTCTGCCGCTCACTGTTCACACTGACAGAAAGGCAGGACTGATCAGTAATACATGGTGCTTAAAATAGAACCAGTCTGTCCATTTAGGACCAGGGATGGACCTATTCATTCATCCACCAAAAGTCTGCAGAGCACCCTACCATGCGTCAGCTCTCTTCTAACTGCTGTGGATTCAACAGTGAGTGAGAGCCAATGTCTCTGAACCCATAGGGCTTGATAGGGAGACATTTATTGTCCAAACTAGTATGTCAGATAAGGACAAGACAACACAGGATGAGCACATGGAGGGGTGGGGTTCCCAAAAGAGTAAAGGTAAATTGCCAGTAGATGTGAGAAAGTCCCAAAGAAGTTTCATCTGTCTTTGCCCAGGCAGCAGCCTGAGGCTCAGTTTTCTATATTATCCTGGATGCTTCAACCCTAAAGTAGTTTGCATGAAATCTCTAGGAGCCCAGCTAGGAAAAAATATACAGGCCCCAAGTCTAGTCTGTACAACTCAACTAACTTGTCTCCAAGACCCCTTTTGATCTGTGTGCCATAGCTTACTGACCTCTGCTGCACACTGTCCCTTCTCCATCACTCACTGGCTGCGTGATCTTGGATAGCTCACTGACAACCTGTGGGACACACAGTACACTCACTTCTAAAACAAGGGACACCAGAACAATTGCTCTTAGAGGTCCTTTCTAGTACTAAGATTGAGTGACTCCTTAAAACTAAAAGTTAATTTTATAATCTTTTCTTCTATTTTTGAATTTTAAGATCTGGAAAAGTTAAGTTATCAATAAGTTATTGTTTGATCTCAGAGGCAGGCTACTAATACCAACCAGAGTTTGGAAATTATACAAAAAAGGCCTGGCATAGTGGCTCACACCTGTAATCTTAGCACTTTGGGAGGTGGAGGCAGGAGGATTGCCTGAGGCCATGAGTTTGAGACTGGCCTGAGTAACAAAGCCAGACCCTGTCTCTACAAAAAATAAAAAAAATTTTAAAAAGGGAAATAATACAAAAACTATTAAAACTTTGGCAAAGGAAATATTAAAACTTCTTGGTGTATCATGAAGCTTCTTTCTGTGTCTGAATCATACAGAGAAGGAAGCACCTTACCTGCAGGGACATCTCGATCAACATTAGTAACTTCTTGATTCCTATCCAGACCTTCTTCCCTTTGACTTGCTGTGCAATTGTGGTGCGTTCCTTATCCTTGAAGTTGCCCAAAAGCTACAAAAACAATGAGAATGAAAGCACTTTTACACTAAGTACATTAATATTCGTTAATTCTCACATTTACCCTTAAAAGAACAGTGAGAACTACCTGACTGTTCGAGCTGACAGGATTCTCTCTCTCCTATTTTAAAACCCAGTCTGACCTCATTAAGTGCAATCATGGAGTGAAAACTGGTATCTTAAACCCTGTTTTCCTATGGACCTCCATTATAACTTAGAGATAAATTTGCTGGGAAGAAAAATAGCTCCAATCCATAATAAACATAAGTAAAAATTTTTAACATTCCTTTCTAGGAACAATCTGTATATGTCAAGGCAAACTAAATTTAATTCTCTGACCCAACCCTGGTGTAAAAGCTGCCTAAACACGTAACCTGGATATATTTATCATATAGATAACTTCTATTTTGTTGGGAGCACACACCAACTTTATGGGTCTTGAAGACTTTAAGAGGCCTTACTGACTCTACCACTGCTGAACAACTCACTACATGATACTTTCCAACAGATCTCATCATGTCATTCATGTACACTAATGTTAATAAATATTTCAATGAAGAACATATTTTTCTAAAAATTGTTACCTTCAAAAAACGTAAGAAAACATTTCTATATTATAAACTTGTTAGTAAGATTCCTTCTATTTCTATAGCTTTTTTGAAGTTTCTGAGGATTTCTCATTGCTCCAATTTATTAAATTCAAGGATATGAGCTGAAAGCCACTATGGATGAGTGATTTTTCTATACTGTGATTACCTCACCCCTGCCCCCCCACCCATCCAAGTTTCTGGTCCATGTAATCTATGTGCTTTACTCATGCTGGGTACAGAGCAATTCATTCTTGGCAGTTTGTATGGTACCTATACCTAAGAATGGGAAATTAATTCAATGTCACTTATGATCATCTTCCTCTTTTAATTCTTGAAAGCAGATGGAGGTATAGGTTGAGCATCCCTAATCTGAAAATCCAAAATCTAAAATGCTCCAAAATCCAAAACTTTTTAAGCACCAACGTGACACTCAAAGTAAATGCTCTTTGGAGCATTTCAGATTTCAGATTTATGAATTACGGATAATATAATGGAATATTGCATTATACTTACATGTATAATACAATATTCCAAAAAAAAAAAAATCTAAAATTCGAAACACTTCTGGTCCCAGGCATTTCGGATGAGCTATACTCAACTTCTAATATCCCAGGGTTCCATGTTCTAGGTTAACACAGAAACCAAACACCAGGTGCAACAGCTGTGGGACCCCTTAGCACTATTTCCGCCTCAACTCCTTTCTTATAAACAGTGTGCAATCCACGGACTCATCTTCACCTCCAAAGCTTCCAGTAGCTGCTCTCCTGTGGCAATGTTGGGCACGTGGATGGTGGTGCTGAAAGCGTTAAGCATTTCCATCTCCTGAAGAACATCTTTGCGGCTGGTGGTCCCAATGATAAGAAGCTTGCGGCCCTGATCACAGGAAGAAAACGTGTTAAAAAACACAGAAAGAGACTAATTAGGAAACTAGAGTAAGCCTGAACAAAATGCATAAAATCCATTTATTATCACAGAAATGCAAATGATTAGGCAAAAGAGAAGAAAAAAAATTCTAGAATTTCCTCATGAAAATCTAAAAAAAGGTACCAACGTAATTCAGAAAGTGGTAACATCTGAACAACTCCTTCTCATTTACATCAATAAAACAATGGATTAGTAAATCAGGGAGAGACACAAACCAAAGAGAAAGATATTGACGTGGATGTCTGTAATTCCCTCCTCAGAGTCAACATGGCACGTGTATGGTGGGAATTGGGGGAAAAAAGAGAAATGAGTGGAAAGTTGTATTGGCTTAGCAAGGCTTTAATATGCCTTCTAAAAAGAAGGAACAGGGTAATAATAGTTTACATTTATGCAACATTTAACCGTGAAAGGCGTAGGCTAAGTGCTTTACATAAGTCTCATTTAATATTTTTAAATTTCATTTTTATTTTTAACCCTCCAAAATATAAAAAATGTATAAAAACCATACCAGGCTTATGCTGCCATTCCCAATTCCCTCTCTCCAGAGACAACCATTTTCAACTCTTAGCTTTTCTTCTTGTATTAATATTTACTTATTTATCTTTAAATAACAAGAATACACTACTATTTTCAGATTTTTATTTTCAGCTTTAAATATTATTTACTGACTTCATACTATGGAAGATTTAGTATTAATTTTGGACTACCCCCCAACCAAATGCCCCCCTTCTCATCCTTCCAACATTGTTATTTCATAGTCTTTAGTTAAATCTATATTCAGTACTTATTATGATTATGTAAATATGATTTACAGCTAAGCCATATAGAGTATGATTAAATTTCCTTTCTTGGGCAACATTTTGTTTTTATTGGAGTTAATAATTGCCTTTTCCCCCTTTGCTTAGTTTACCAGCTACTTATCAAGAGTTCATCCCCTAACAAACACTGTGAGTCTCCATTCAGTATGTTCAAACACATTTGAAATTGTGTTATTTTCTTGAAGACATTCCCCTCCTGGAGTCCTCTGTCCTCATAGTTCAATCTGAACTGATTGCTTTCTAGGCTTGCAGCACAGCTGGCTGTAGTTCTAGAATTTTCCTCTCTCCTCTGTTAGATCCTCTGTATGCTTGCTTTCCTTTTTCTTAATTTATACCTTTTTGTGGTACATATACCCAGAAGCTTCCTGAGAAAGGGTGTAAGGGGGGAGTAAACTTTTAAAGACCTTACATGTCTGGAAATGCCTTTATTCTGCCCTTAATATTGTACCTTCTATCTTATACTTAATAGTTTGACCAAGTATAGAAAATAAGGTTAGAAATAATTTTTCTCTCACAATTTAGAAAGTGCTGGTCTATTGTCTTTTAATTTTTAGTACTGCTAGCCAGAAAAAAATCAATGTCTGATCTCTGACCCTTTGTTTCTAACTTGTTTTTTTTAATTTTTAATTTTTTTTCTTGCTATGTTGCCCAGATAACTGGAAAATTCCAATCATTCAGTTCTAGGGAATATCTTGGATTATTTCCTTGAGATTTCCTCCCATTCATCTCTTCTATGTCTTCCACCAGGAACCTTCAAGAGTTGGTTACTGTTCCTCTAGAACTAATCTTCTATTATAATTTTCTTACTTTTTTGCTCCTAGTTTTTATTTCTTTCTCTTTTATTTATTTTTTTTTTTTTTGAGACAGAGTCTCACTTTGTTGCCTAGGCTAGAGTGAGTGCCGTGGCGTCAGCCTCGCTCACAGCAACCTCAAACTCCTGGGCTCAAGCAATCCTCCTGCCTCAGCCTCCCAAGTAGCTGGGACTACAGGCATGCGCCACCATGCCTGGCTAATTTTTTGTATATATATTTTTAGTTGGCCAATTAATTTCTTTCTATGTATAGTAGAGACGGGGTCCCGCTCTTGCTCAGGCTGGTTTCGAACTCCTGACCTTGAGCGATCCTCCCGCCTCGGCCTCCCAGAGTGCTAGGATTACAGGCGTGAGCCACCGCGCCCGGCCCTATTTTTTTCTCTTTTTAATACTTTTTGGGTTAGCATCAACTTTATCTTCCAGCCTTTATATTAAATTATTTTTTATTTCTGAGAGCTCTTTCTTATTTTCTGAATATTTTCTTTTATAAACACATCCTATTATACTTTATGAATATAATATATTAATTTAGATTTCTTTGAATATTATAGATTAAAGAAAATGTTTTCTTCTGTTCCCCGCTCTGTCTCTGCTTCCTCTGAGTTCCTTTCTTCCTATTATTTTATTTATTTATTTTTTGAGACAAAGTCTCGCTTTGTTACCCAGGCTAGAGTGAGTGCCATGGCATCAGCCTAGCTCACAGCAACCTCAAACTCCTGGGCTCAAGCAATCCTTCTGCCTCAGCCTCCCGAGTGGCTGGGACTACAGGCATGCGCCACCATACCCGGCTAATTTTTTCATATATATTAGTTGGCCAATTAATTTCTTTCTATTTATAGTAAGAGACGGGGTCTCGCTCTTGCTCGGCTGGTTTCGAGCTCCTGACCTCGAGCAATCCGCCTGCCTCGGCCTCCCAGAGTGCTAGGATTATTATGGGTGTGAGCCACCGCGCCCGGCCTTTTTCCTATTTGTTTTATTGGGGGCTGTCCTCAAGCATCTGGTATCAATGGATGACTATTCATATTTAAGAGTTAAACTAACAGCTATGTGTCTGAGGGCTTCACTGCAGGATGATCAGGTAAGACTTGGCTGATTATTGGGCATCCCTCAAAAGTCAGTATGTGTAAATTTTTCCCAGAGAAGCAGCCTCCAATCTCCTTCCTGAAGGCCAAAGCCTCACTGCCAGCATACAGGCAGCTGATGGGATAATGGGTCTGGGTATCTCACCACTCAATATGGAGACTTCCATTTAATCCTATTTACAGTTTGGCGCCTCATCAGATCCATCTCATTTAATGTTCATTATAATCATGAGAATTAAGTATGAGTATTATCCCCATTTTACTGATGAAGGTTTTGAATTGCATAGATATAAGTAATTTGTTCAACGCCAAATAACTAATCAATGATGAAACCAAGATTGAAAACCAGATCCAGACCCAAATCATACACTGTCTCTCTTCATAAAGAAAAATATATTAATAAAAGAGTTTACTTGGGAAATGGAAGAGGAATAAATCTTTAAACTTATGTCGCTAGATTTATTATATATACTCAGTCCATAGATAAGTCTTTAATACAATCATTGAACCTATTCATGGGTCTTAGAAACTCAGGACATTAAAATAAATATGCTATGCTAGCAAGAAAAGATTTTAAGAAATCAAAGATCAGGTGCCAAAACAATTTCAATTTGGGTTTTGTAAACATTATGCCATTACTGTCAATAAGGCATGCTAGCCTTTCTCAATCTTACTCATTGTTTTTGCCCATTTCTGTGTCAAGAATGGATCATGTGCCACTGTAAACAAAGTTGAGACCGTCTGGTCCAATTAGCCATTGGCATAACAGATGACTGCACAAAGACTATGAGATAGCAGCATCCTATGAATCACAGATTAAAGGGTCATCATTATTATTATTTGAGGAATCAACTAGCTAAAAACCAAATGCTTATCAATAGACTTCATTAAGTTCCTAGATGAATATGAAATAGACCTTGCATAGAGAGGACAGAAAAAAGATAATAATATAGAAAGGCGGAGGTATTAATACACACGAGGACGTCAGGTAGACGGAAGAAACGTGGTGGAGAAAGCTTCTTTCTCTGGAGGAGACAATACCTGAACTGAGTCTTAAGGAATGAGTAGGTTGATTAGGAAGATGAGAAGAGGAAGGACATTCTAAGCCCAAGGAGCAGAAATACATAAGTCCAAGGGAAATAACAAAAAGAAAAGCTGGGGTGTTGGGGTAATTACAAACAGGTACAGACATATAAATTTCTATTATAACAAAAAAGTGGTGCTTTTTTATACGCAAAGTATTTTTTAACATTAAATTCTAATGGCAAGCTTGGGCACATATCCCTGAAGCCTAATAGATGCCAAAGGCCACACATGCTGGCACAGCCTCAGTAGACTGAAAGGTAACCGTTACTTCCCTTTTACCCTAGTTTTTTCACTCCCCCCATGCCCGCCCTAGCCCATACTTAAAACTCCCTCATCTTGCTCCTCTCTCACAGAGGGCAGTGTTGGCTCTAGAAGAATGGCATTAAGAAGCTTCTTACTCATTCCAGAAAGCTGGACTTTTAAAATCATTGCCATTTTCCTAGTGAAACTTACATTAACAGTGACTGTGTTCTTAAAAGTGTTGAAAGATTGGGAAATATAGAGCAACTTATAATGGAGACGCTAATTTATGTTTTGCTTTTCTTCTTGTTTAACAAGACTGCAAACACTGCAAAGAGGTCATGACCCATGCAAGTTCAGGTCTTGACTTGTAAAGCGTCATCTTTAGTAAAACACTAAAAACATTACCAAATGATTAAAATGTGCCGGGTCATTTTGTATATTAATTAGTGGTTATGTTCATAAGGAAGCTTTATCATGAAAAAGCAGCTCTGAATGTATTAATGTGATAAATCACACTGCATACACTTGGAGGGAAAAGCTGCCAGCAGCATGAAAGGGGGATGCAGCTTTAAAAATAAATGCAGAGTTCAACCCAAGAGGGGAGCTCCACCTTGCTGGTGTGGCTACTAGTCTTCAGCCCAAGGTGTCCAAATGTGCCCCTTCATGGAAAGCAGAAAAAGTAGAGTGATAAACCTATTTGGGGGAAAAAATTATTCCCAGCATACTCCTTACTGAGATTTGCTAGTCCTTATGCTATAAAGAAAACACCTAAATAAAATGACTATCTGCCAATCGGATTATGATAAACATTGTTCCAAGGTTAAATAAGTATTAGTTAACTAATTCTTAGTACCATAAGAAGTAACTCAGGTGAAAACATTTCCATGAAAAAGGCAGGGCTCAGTCAGG